GTGCGATACAAACTTTTTGTCTCGAAACATTGGTCCATGTCGAGCTATGTGAATGCATATGAGCTATGTGAAAATCAACTTTTGATAAATTAAACGTAAACGTAATGGAATGATTTACTTTTTTCCATGTTCATAACATATGATAAAACGCATACAACGTTTGCTTTTTTGTCAACATGATTTATTATATAATTTTTTTGTGTGGAGAGGTGTTCGAATTTGGATGTAGAAGATCTAACTAGAAGCATTTTCTCCAATCCACTAATTCATATATAGTAAAAAAACAACAACAATATGATTTTCTAAGAAAAAAAAAACAATATGACAACTTCGAACGTAAATTTCTTTTTGTGAAATGCTAAAATGATTCATTATTTTTGATTATTCAACTAATTTTGTGGAATATTAATTTATATTTTTATAAGTTCACTACCCAACAAAAATAATAGAAAATTTAAGAAAAAAACTAATGATTCATTATTTGGGTTTTGCTATTTTATTTAAAAGAATTTTAAAAATATATTTTTTCTTTGTTAAACCGTAGAGAATTCTAAAACTTTACCTCATAATCTTTTCTATATCTGCAGATAAACCTTTGGATATTTTGATTATACCACAGTTTTAGAAAATATTTATATCCAGTATTACTATAGGGGACCTCTAATAAAAAAAAATGGGTGGTGAGTTGAGAAATTTAGAAGTCCTTTGGAATAAGGTGTGGATTTAGATAAAAGGCGATTGTTTCAATTGGTGGGCAATAGGCATCTTACGTATTGCCAATATACGTGTTTTAAGCAAAGTTGTGATTCTTGCCTATACATAAATATTTCTCGTTCCATTACTTTAATTTCTTCTTCTTTTTCAATCTGTTTGTGTCAATTCATATTCTTTTTTAATCGAACCATTACTTTTTATAAAGAATATGATTGTATTATCAAAGATGCACGTTTCTTCTCTTTTTTTTTCTGGTATAACATGTCGTGCAGTCCAAATCAAACATATTGGTACGATTTTTGGTGTTGAGTGACCTACGTTTTATTTGCTATATCATACAAGCGATAAGATATATAGCATTATAGTGAGTATCTATCACACTTTTATCTTTTTATAGAGAGTAATCAGAATTCGTAGCTTAGAAATTTACATAATGGTTATATATGTGTTTCGTAAGTTTACACATTACTGATCATTTTCATTCCTACGTCTAACTTTTGTTTATTGTGTTTCCATTAATAACACCGGTTAGAGATTGTAACGAGCATATCGATTCCATTACTTTAGCAATATTCCCATTTTTTAAGTTTTTTTTTGTCGTACCATTTTTTAAGTTAAAAATAGTACACATGTGCATGCAATCTATCGCAATTATGGATTTGATTTTTTTTTCTATGTATCATAACACATTTAAACGTTTATATTTTGTTTTTAAGGAAAATGTACAAATTATAGGTCTTATAAATGCATTCATCCAAAGGGTAGGCTCTAGAAATTTGAATTTTATTTTCAAGAAATAATAAAGTAAGATGACAACAAAGTTAGGTAAAGAAGACAAAATGCACCGCTTCGGTCACTTAATTAATTACTATACAGGCTCTTTATAGTTTATATAATTGCTACAATTCACAAAAAAAAAATTAACAAACAAAATTTGTATAAGGAACAAATTATTGGAAACATTTGCTTCGGCTGTATAGACAAAAAAAAATATTTGTAAAACGATATTAATATAAATCAGTTACTAATATCCTGTAGTCCGATAAATGTCTACTCTTAATTAATTTTTAAACCATGTGAATCAATCGATTATATTTATCTGGTCAACAATTAGAACTCTTTTATATTTATCTGGTCAACAATTAGAACTCTTTAGACAAAATGTAGATGTTTCTAAATAAAAAATAATGGGATGTATTGGATCTGCATTGGAGACATTTTGTATGTGTCTTTAAATATAAAATTATTAAAWGTTGAGTAAAAKGAAGAAARRDAGTRTTTTTKGTTRAAWTAATRKGGTGTATTGAAATATAAAATTAATAAAATTTGAGTAAAGAGATGAGATAGTGGGTATTATTGGAGAGAGGATGTCTCGGAGAAGACAAAGTTGGAGAGAGAATGGATGAAAGTTGGAGAGAGAATGAATAAAAGTTGGAGTGTGTTTAAATATAAAATTAATAAAAGTTGAATAAAAGGATGAAAAAGAAAGTATAAAATTGAGTAAAAGGAAAAGAGAATGTTTTTTTAATATATTTTTTATTTAGAGACATCCACATTTTGTCTCTAATGTGGATGGTCTAATACAGCATAGATCCCTACAAGTCTTCTTGTATTTATAAAGTAATTGAAAAAGTATTCATCTTGAAAAAATAATTAATTAAAGTGGAAGTGGAGCATAATTGTGTTTTGTGAGTGGTAATGCGCTATGTTGGATATGAAATATCAAATTGGGGACAGTTTCAATCTATCGTATGTTTTAATATCAACATACCAGAGCATATACTAAGGTTTTGTTTTTATATGTTATAAATCAAGGGACAATTACAAAAATACCACTTTTTGTATACACATTAGCAGCAAGAATGTTACTTAGGGGTGTTTATTTACAAAAATACCACTAATTATAGATTTATAAAGCCTATATCTTAAAATTTTAAACCCTAAAAAATGTTTTGACACCTAAAACCCATAAACACTCAAAACTAAACCC